TTGTATTTTGTTCTATGAGCCTGATGTTTATAATAAATAATCAAACATAGACTGCTTTATTATAACTGTACAATAAAATATGATGCAAACCATTGAAAACCACAACTATAAAATAAATATTTTCAGTTGGCACGGCATTCAAAATTAATTTCACTATAAATAAATAGTTAAGTTGAATAAATTGAAAAGTTTTTCTTTTAGCCGTGAACTTTCAATTTTTTGTTTTTGTTTTCAAACAGAACAGGATAAAGTTAATATTAACTGGTTCCCGTGAATAATTTACTAAATTATAGTTTTTTTTTTTTTGTGCATATTTCCATTACAATTTTAAGGTCGCTATAGTTTTGTTATTAGAATGTCAAATGTGATTGGAAAATAGTGCTAGACAAGCACCATTTCTGTATTATGTTTTGAGTCTCTTATACATTTTAAAAAGAAAAATCACATTAAAAAAATAGCATTGATGAAACTGTCGCAGAAAATAAATTTTATGGCACTACTAAATTTAGTTTAAAAACGAACAAGAGAAAAAAAGGATCTCATGTTTTAACAAAATTAAAAACTTTTATGATGATAGAATGAAGTAGAATGAAGTGATGGATCCTTTTTTTTGCTGTTTTGTATGAACATAAAATTTTAGAATGGAATGGGATAAGATTAAAAAGGAAACTAGTAATAATAGATCAACTCACTCTATTTAATTTTTTATTTTTTTTCTTTTTTGGAAAAGTTATAATAACATCTACTAAGAAAAAATGAAAGGATATACATTTTGGTTAGAGGAGAACAAAAAATTGACGTTAGAGGAAGTTATAATTTGTTAGTTTTTCAATATAATTTATGAAGTCTGTAAGACTTTTACAAAAAAAAACTTATAAATAACGCTAAAATATATAGGAAAAAATTAATGTTTAAAAGTATTCAATTTATATTCTTTCCAAACTTTAAACTACAAGTGTAATATTTAATGGAATATCTTTTTGGAAATGAAAATTTTTCATAGAGAAAATTTTTTCCAAATAAATTTTAAAAATTTAATCTTTTTATAATAGACGAGAAAGAAATTACTTGAACTTTGAAAAAAAAAATCTAGTTGAATCAAACCAAAGGCTTGTAATGTGGCACTTTTCTCTTCAACAAGTGAAAATGATACCTTTACAAACAATCTATCTACTACATTATTGAAATTACTTCCAGTCATATACATTTAGGATTGCATACTTTTAGGATGCGGTAAATATATTTGAAAGAGGTGTTAACATAATGCTTAAAATCAAGGGCTAATTGCGTTAGTTGAGAAAAGTGAATTTATTTTTTAATTGAGATTCAAAAAAATGTTCTTCTGCTAAAATTTCAGACCCCTACAACTTATAGTCTAAATTTAATGGACTTTTTGATTTTTTAAAGTTTAAATATTTACCGCAAGTGTGTAAAACAGTAGAAAAAGTAGACCACTACTGTTGTGCGTTTACAAAATTCACAAAATGGTTATGATTTCGCTACAACGAATTGTTAAAAAATGTCATTTTTAGGGTTTCGAAGGACTATAACTTTTAGAGAGGATGAGATAGATAAAAATTTTCTTCTACGGAAATAGAGTTTCTAGTAAAGGTCCATGCATATAAGAAATTTCAGCTTTCTATCTTCAATGGTGTAGAAGTCTTATAAATCAGGTTCACGGGCGGACGGACAGAGTGAAACTAATAATCCGTTTTTAACAGAAAAATATTTTGGAAAAGTGCTAAAAATCAATGTTTATACTTTCACAAAAATTCGCAAAAAAAACTGGAACTTTGAATGTTAAAATGAATTTTTTTTCATTTCGAGTACTCAATAATCACATTGAAATAAATTTTTAAAAATTATTACTTAGTTTTTTTGTAGAACAAATTTGCAAGATTTCAAATGAAAAAATTGCAATTTTAAAGAGTTATTCACGAACTTAAACTTAAAATATGAAGAAAAAGGACAAATTGCTTTGTAGATTAACAACTTCTTTTTTTAAATCTTTACACAATAGTAGCAAAATTGAAGGGGCTCTTATAATCTCTTTCAATAAATCATACTCGACATAAACCAGAAATATGATTCGCACTGTTCTTTTTTCGACAAAATCAAAGAATTGAATTTAAGATTTGTCTGGCTTTGTCATACAGTAAGGGGATCAGAACCCCAACTGAAATTAAACGAAAAATCAAACTTATTTAATATCCATTCTCTTTAATAAATTAGAAAGACCCATAATATCCTTTGTGTTAACCATGATTCAATTATTTATTCCAAAAAATATCAAAATATCGAAAAAAATAGAACAAAAACAAACCAACAACAATTTCAAAGATAAATTATGTTTTTCTATTAAATTATAGATAATCAACCGATCTTAATGACTAAAAATATTAAAATTAAAATTCTACTTAAAATTATGACTATTTTTATCAGATTGTTCAGAATATCAATTTTATTCGTATACAAATATTAAAAAGCTTAACCAAGTATAGAAAACCATTTCCGAAATATTTAAATTCTTACATATAAAATTTTCTTTAAATATTTTTTCTTTTAATTTTGCATTCATATTCCAATCGTCCTTTTTATTATCCTTATTAATGACCCCTGTTTCCATAGCAACAACAACAATAACACAATTATTTTCGGTTAAAAACCGAATTAATAGCCATAGCTTTTTAAAAATTTCGTATACAAAAAGCATTTTAAATACATTTATATATCTTCCATTTTTTTTTTAATATTCACAACAGCGTGATATCCTTAAGATAATACTGTATATGTATTTCATTTCTCTTTGTTTTATTATTATAAAGAATTAAGGAAAAAGAGTCTACTTCCGGGTAAATTTCTTGTATTGTATAGCCTTTTAGGGAATTTCCTTTTCTGTTTTCCTTTTCTTTTTTTATATTTTTTTTATTGGAAAATTTTCAAATACAAGAAAATATGCCTATACTAAATATTAGTTTCTTTAAAAAGTATTTCTTTAAAGGATTTTCTACCAACATTTTATAATCTGTGTTTGATATAACAAAGTATTTTTTAAGAAAAACTCTAGATGTTTAAAATTAAACAGAGTTGTGTGTCGGGAATTGCAAAAAGATTTGAATCGAAACGTTATACCGGTAAAATAAATTTTAATTCTCACACATTTTTCCTTTCTTTCAACAATTTCCTTTTCTTTCCTCATTAAATGATAAGCTACATCATAACTGGCAATCTAATAGCCGCATTTTATGCGTCTACAAGTGATGATTATTTTGCTCTTTCGTGCAATGATAGTTTGTATCATAGTTTTTGCAATTCTATGCAATTTGTCCGTTATTAAAGAAAGAGCTAATCAATTAATGATGTAGTTGTTTCCAGGGCAAAAATTCGTAAACAGTAAGTAGTTAATTAATAAAAATATATTTAAGAATTGTTTGTATCTTTAGGAAAACATTTCTATATTTCAGAAATATCCTGATTTATTCATAAACGGAAATACCTTATCCTAATGTTATGCAATTTCGTTTTTAGAATTTTTAAATTTCCTATTTTAAAACTAAAAATTAAATTTGACTCTTATTTTCGAGTATTCGTTTTTATAAAATTCAGAAATTTTTACCACACAATAATTTTTAAAACACATTGAACTGGCTTTGATATAATTACATTAAAGCGTCTATATAAAGCATACAAAATCAAAAGAAAATTCATCTGGTTTAACAAATATTTTCATATAAACTAATTTCATGCAACCATCCCTCTAAACTTCAACATTATTTATCTTTAGAGATTTGCTGTCTTCGTTTTAGTATTTCCCTTCGGGATTTTCTTAAATTTTTAATTTAAATTTAGCAAAAAAAAATTTTTTTTTGTTAAACTCCAAAACTTCATCATTCCAAGACGGAATCTAAATAAAAAAAAAAAAATATTTACATTTCACATACTCTTCCTCCTAATACTGTGTATAATACCAACAAGATAAAGAACAATGTCCTACTAATAAAAAATTAAAAGACAAAAAAAAATTTTTTTGATTTCATTCGTTTACCTTTGAGGTCGAGGACATGTCATGATAGAACAGAAAAAAAAAAACAGAAACAAAAATACATTTCTGTTGTTTTCCCTTCTGTTCTTCTTCTCATTTTTTCCGTTTCTGTTACATTTTAACAGTTATATTTCATTTTTTTTTTTGAATCATTCTTATTCAAACAATCGGCCTTTTCAAGTAGGATAAACAAATACAATTTAATAAATTTAAAATTCAGTGGGAATACAAAAATATAAAAATTTCCTCGAGAACATTTTTGAGGATTTTGTGTTTTATAATCCTTACATAATAACATTGTATTCCGACCATAAATTCAATAAATTAAAACCAAATTTAAAGAACAAAATTAATCATAATTTTGTACACATAAAACGGTTACAGCTCGAGGATTGAAGAACAATAAAAAGAAATGCTTGAAGGGTTATGCAAATGCATTTTTTGGGGCCATTTGAATAGACGAGAAAATTAAAATTTGATGCTATAACAAGGGAAAAAGAACTTCAATTAAACTAAACCTAAGTTAAAAGAGCCTTCCTTATTGAATCAAAATTTGACATTAAGCTCCTGGTTAAAAATTACGTAGCATAATCTCTGTCCATGCATTTAAGTTGATTCACAAAATTTCTTATTATCTTCAAAAAGCAAAAAGAAGAGGATACTGCTTAACTTCTCTTTACACAATATTCTATCTTTCAACTGCCCGCTGTCGCATCATGCCGGTTAGAACATCTAAAACATTTTATCCAAACTATATTCTCTTATCAATTAATTCCTGTTAAAATGTATCACTTCAACCCTTCTTTTCCCTATACTACTTGACCAGCCAAAAACAATACAAGACTAGCAGTGAAAAAAAGTATAATTAAAGCTAAAAATAAAAATAAAAATAAAGAAATTTGGAATAAAATTTTCTCATTTGATCTTTTTATTTTTTCTTATATAAATATCCTTATAGAGGTGACGATGTGGAAAAATCATTAGAAGTTTTGGATAAAGTTTTATCAGAATTTGAAGATCCTGATTCCCTACCACACATTCCTGTACACATTGAACCAGAAAGTCCATCACAAGGCAATCAATCAGAAGATGATGGTTACATGAGTATGAATGGAAGGAGGTAAATATTTTCTATATGTTTTAAATTTCTTGTTTATTTATATACATATATATGTATAAAAGTAATTGTGTAGTTGTATATTGGGTTGAAAATGAAAGGGAAGTAGGATAATTGATTGTTTACTAATGACATGTGTTTCAAAATTTTCTTTTTACAATTGATTGATTTAAAACATACTTTTTAAGTTTCATGCTAAGAGTTTTTGTAGTAGTTTTTGTTTTTAGTCTTGAAATTTTGTAAGTTAATGGGGTATATACAGTGTATAGGCAAGTATTTCTTTAATTAATTACTATTCTTATTATTATAAGACTCCCTATTGGGAGTCTTTTATTAAAATTTATGAATTTAATCGCATTTTTAATATTATGACCAAATAAGAATTGAGTCAAGAACTCTCAAAAATTTTGTTATGGTTACAGTCAAGTTCCCATCAGAATATTGGAAAGTTTTGCTAAACTTAAAAACACATTGCATAATTACATTCTGGAAAACGCTCAAAAGTTTTGAATCCAGTTTACAATATTCATATAAAGAAAGATATTTTCATATTAACTCTTGTCATGACTAGACCCAATGCCTCTAAGCAGTTGAAAACATTCCAAAATTGCAAATAAAATTATCTAGCGAATTCCTTTTCGAATATTACCAAAATTGCCTGTTTTCAGACTAAAACATTACATTGCACGAATTTCATTAACAAATTGAATTTTGAAGTTTTGAAATACTTTTTATGTATTTTAAATTGGTGCTTTTATTGCCTAGATTTCGCTGCTCAAATTTATAGAATTTAATAACAACCCTGCAACAGTAACTCAATTTGCAATAATTCAACTAAAATATTAAATTTATTTCACAGTTGAGGAAAACATTTTAATAAACGTCATGCTTGAATAAAAAATTTAATATTTTTTTTTAATTAAATTTTTTTCTAATATACTTTTACTTATAAATCAATTTTCATATTAATTTTTCTTTTCCTTCTTTTTTTTTTTAATATAATTTTTTCTCTCATCTATAAATTAAATAATATTTTTCAATTTTCTTTTTATTAAAATGAAAAAAAAAATAAATAAAAACGAAATATAAAAGGGCAAAAATACCTCCAGATTTCCATCAACCCCTTAGTAACGAATCACCTGCATCACCGCCACATCTTATGGAACGTAAAAATTTTGAAAAAACTACGGATGATATTAATAATAAAATAACAAATAATATAAATAATAACAATAATAATAATAATAACAATAATAACAATAACAATAATAATAATAACAATAATCAAGAAATAGATCAACAGTCTTCATCAATTTTATTACCATCATCATCATCACCATCATCAGATTTAACATCATCATCATCATCATCAACAACAACTACAACAACAACAGCAACAATAACGGCAACAACAGTAACACCTACTTTACAATCAGCAACAACAATATTATCATCATCATCAACATCATCTTCACCAATAAAAATACAAAAACAACAGCAGCAGTCAGCTAATAATACAACATTGGAATTGTCGATTCAGGAACCAATAAAAGTAACCATAAAATCATCACCTGTATCATCATCTACCCACCAAAATAGTAATAACAGTAGCAACTGTAACAGTAACAGTATAACAGAAAAAACAGAAGAAATTATTGTTAAATCTAATCAACCCCCTCCACCAGAAGTAGCTGAAGCGATAATTTCAAATTTATTACCAAGGTATGTATTTATTATTATTATTATTATTGTTGTTGATCCTCTATTCCTATATTTATATACATATATACAAAAATATTACATTTTTATATACTCCCACGTATATTGCTAAAAGTTATATTTTATTATTGTTATTGTTGGCTGTTTGTACTATTACAGTAACTCATTTAATGGCAGGATATAAATATAATATGTACATGTGAATATATATATACAAATACAACCGTGTATTACTTCAATAAATATAATTTTTATTATATTTCTTTTTTATACACTTCTAAGTTCCATTTAAGAGAAGAGAAAAAAAAAAACAAAATATTGATGTTGATGGTATGAGATAAAACCATAAATTTCTGGGGGTTTCTCATTCTATATTTCTGGCATACCGTTGTACCTTGTATATATATAAAATTTGCAATTTCTGTTGTCATATTGTTACAACCTAAAATACAATTTAGTTATGGGATTAACACCTGCAAAACAAAAAACAAAAAATATAAGGTGATATAAAAATAAATCAAAATGTAAAATAAATTTGGACAAGAGTAAAAATATATACGCAAAAAAAAGTATGATGGAAAATTGTAGGTTTTTTTTATCTTTATTTTCTGGTTATTTTTAGGCTTCTGAAATTTATTATAGAACAGAACATTAACTGAAATGAATCTCAAATACACTCAATGTGACTTTAAACATTTTTTTTATTGTAAAACAGTTTAGGTTTCTTTATACTTTTAAAGAGAAAATGTAGGTACTTTTGTTATATAAATTTTTCATTACTATTTTGTTTTTATATTAGAAAATTATTATTATTATTTTTTTTACATCCGAACATAAAATTAATATTTACCTTTGTACATTCAATGAAGAATGACTCTTAGGAGAAAATTCAATAAGTGTTTCAATTAAATTAATGAAATTTTGAGAAAATTTACAGCTTGCTGTACTTACAATTAATTTATAAATTAATATAAAATTTAAGAGAAAATCTGAATTAATTGAAGAGAGAGTTATAAAGTTAAAGAGTGTTTGTTTTAATTTATTAATTAGCATTAAAAAATTAAAAAAAACAAACTCACAATACGAGTATTTTACAATTATGTTCAATTTAAAACAGTTTACACGCATTGATCAAATAAATTGGAATTAAGCCAGATAATTTCTACATATTACTGAACAATTTATTATTTGGATCGAAAAGAGAAGCGATATTTGCAAAGAATAGAAAACAAAACTGGAGTGGGTAGAGTTAGAGTGGGTAAACTGGGATTGGTGAGTAGAGTGGGTAAAAAAATTCTTTATCCCGAAAAAATTTAGATTCATAAGATCAAATAATGGTTAAAAAATATTAATAATTCTAGCTTTCAAATCCGTTGCATCTACCTAATACATCAAAATACAAAATTTATGGACTAGTACTTCTACTAAAAACTCAAAAAATCTAATTTATTATTAAATACACGGTGCCAATTAAAATTTTATTTAAATGAAACTGAAAATAAGAGAAATTTAAATTTTAAAATTTTATGCATCAACAATCACAATGGAATAATTGGAATATGTACAATTTCTTTTGCACCGTGGTAGACATGGATGGTTCTCTGAAGCCGAAATTTTGGAAACTTCATAAGAATTAAATTAATTTAAATTTTAGATTACTTAAAATTAAAGTCTCATTCTAGTATAAAAATGTGCTAGCAAAGACATTCTATCAAAAATGCTATCAAAAAATTACCATAAAAATTGTGTGCCCCTATAAATATGCAATCGTATTTTTATGTTGTAAAAATTTTTATTTTTCTAATACTTTAATAAAGTTAATTGAAACCGATTTTCCAAAAACAAAACGAAATTACAATCTCTCTTCGTTGTTTTACAATTTCATTACATTGTTTAAGTAATAATAATATAATTTTAATCTTAGTAAAATTTGGAAAAAAAAAAACAATTTTATTTTCCTGTAATTTTTTTTATGAAATTTTCAATCAGAAAATGACATAAAAATCATCATCATAAATTTTTTTTTCCTTTTGTTTTTTTTAAAAATTTAAACATTGTTACGAAAAAAAAAACCTTGTTTACTTTTCATTCTTAAACAAAAAAAAAATAAAAATAGCAAAAAATCAAAATTATTTCTATGACTTAATCAAAATTCTTTTCATATCCATATTGTAAAACTTTTCATTACATTTTCAAGACATTAAACGAGTTTTCTTCAAAAAAAAAATGAAAGAAAACTCCTACTCATTCTACTCCTACTCTGCAGCTCCTCAAGCCATTTCCATCTCATCATACTTAAGGAATTCAAATTGGAAAAAAAATAAGAGTAAAAAACAAAATTTCTTCTTGTTTTTTTTTATTTTTGATATTTTTCTACAAGCATTTAAAAGACACACAGAGAAGACAAAGTCATGAACATCCTGGACCAGAAAAAAATTACAATTGTAAATTTAATGCCATTTTTTTTCTTTTTATTTTTCTTTTTCATGTTTTTTTGTGTTTTTGTACTTCATGTGCTCTCAAACTGAGTAAATAAAATAAAAACAAGTAACAAGAGAGTAAAAAACACACAGTCCCAATAAACATTTTATTTTCTTTTTTTTTTCTCATTTTTTCATTCTCGTATTTTGTTTAAAACAAAGAAATTTTTTTTTCTTTTTTATTTATTTCTGTTTGTTTTTATTATTATTTTTGGTACAGTATAAAAAAATTTTCAAGAAACAAACAATTTCTCTTTCTCATTTGCAAAAAAAAAACAAAAAAGAGAGAAGAAATAGAAAATCTCCTTATGAACAACAATAACAACTAAATATTTTAATACACATACAAAAATTACTCTTTATTATTACAATTATACGATAGAAGTATAAAGTACGTTAAAACAATGGATGATGAAATTTTTTTCTATTTAAAGGAAAATTTTTTTTTTGCAGAAAAATATTATAGATAAATAGATAATATAGAATCTTTATCTAAGTTAAAATTTTATATAATGAACAAAAACAAAAATATACAAGTAGAATATCCTAATTTTTTGTCCTTCGACGACAAAACAATAGAATGAACAAAAAAGGATATTCCCACGCAGACGACGACTATACTTGAATGTGGTGATGCGGTAAAAATTTTTCAACAAATAATCTACTTGGTTAAATTTAAACTTCTTAGTTTCTGTATTAAATTTTTTCTTTTTTTTCCATAAATTTTTATAAATTTTTATACTCTAGACTTTTGTCAGACACAAAAGAAGTTAAAATAAGAATTAAAAAAAAAAAGTTGTAGTTTTGTAAGACAATATTATTAAAAATTAAATATTAGTATAGAAAATTTTAATTTAATTTCAGTAGGTATTTTATGTTTAAATTTATTGGGTTTTATTTAATTGTTGCAATAATGGAGTCTTTATGCTTAAAAAAATTTTGTAACAATTGTATGACTTTGTGTCTTAAAGTTTTCATTAAAAAATTTCTTCAGCTTTAAAATAAATTCTAATTGAGTACATGATTTCCTTAATAAAAACTTCAAAGCTTGATGATAATTACAAAATGTCTTGAAATTTTTCTGAAACACATTCAATGCACTTTCCGAATACAAATTTTATGCACTTTCAAATTCTGTCGTCTATCAAAATATCTTAAAATCGAAATTTGGCTTATAAACCCATTTCTCTAACTAAAAATGCGTGTGCCTTCAAATTCAAATTTATTCGTCCCAATTTATTCTTACAAAATGAAGTTCTATAAAGTTTTCTTTCATATTTATTTTTGTAGCAATTTGCTAATGTGAATAAAATGAAAACTGCTATGATTCCATAATTTATTATAATTTTTTTTATTAAAACTGCAAGCATAAGTTTTGTGAATGTATAGAACAATAGCAAGTGATTGTTTTTTATAATTTTAATATTTGTTTTCAAAACTTCTTTAAAATCAATACATTTTTATATATGCATTTCTGTACCGGAAGATGGCACTATTATTATAATTAATACATTTTCGTCTCAATGAATAAGATTGTGATAAAAATTTTTTCATTGTTTCTAATTAAATTCTTTTTTATTAACTACATTCAATATATTTTTGCCATGTTAAGAGATGAAAAACACACATGATTCAAAATATTTGAAATATCACCAATTTAGTAAATTGGATTAACTTCTACAATAGAGAGACGGACAGAAATTTGTACATATTTCATTAGTTAATTTATAAAATATACTTTCTATTTTAAAACGTACTTTCAAAAAGATTGTACTTCAGCTGAATATTTCTAAATTTTCTTACATTTTTCATATAAATCGAGCTCCAGATAAGATTGGTAAGAAAAGAAGCTCCAGTTCGTTTACATTTTTGAAAAACTTCATTCATTTTTGTTATAGAGACATAATAAGACTATTACTCGTAAGTGTAAACGCGGGAAAATAAAAAAAACACAAAGAAAACTGTAGAAGCTTTTATAATAAAATGCCATTTTGGATTTACGAAATTCTAAAATCAAAATGTAATTTTAGTTCCTATTGATTTCATGTCTCCACTTTTTTATGAGTCTGCACTTTCTACACACATTCCGATATACATAATATTTATTTAAGTTCACTTTGTTTTACAAATTTAAAGATAATTTTACCGTATGGGATTTTTAAAAAAGTTTTTTTTTTTTTGGTTTCTTTCTTATTTTGTTCTACATTGCTTTTCTGAATTTTTCAATTAAATGTTGTACTGGGAATGTTGTAGGATTTTCGTTTCTTTTTTCCTTTACACGATGAAAAAATAAAGACAAACGAAAACAAAAGCCAATATTGGCATAATTTGAACGCAATTTTAAATTTTTTTTTTTTTAGGAATCAAACTTGGCAAACTACGTTTTTTTAAGCTCTTTTAACATTAATGTTATATAGGTGAAAAAACAACCTTCACCATTGGGGAGCACGATTGTTTTGCCTTTTTTGTTGTTAATTTTGATCCTTTTATGTAAATTTCTAATTCCACGTTTTTATTTTTTTT